ACACACACACACACACACACACACACACACACACACACACACAAACTATTAACTAGCTAATGTACAAAGCACATGCTGCTGATAAAGTTATCTTTTGTAAGCTGATTCCCCAAAACTGAAAGAAATGTGCCTGGCCAAAAGTTACACGTCAGTCTAACAATTCACTTGACTAATGCCAAAGGTAAATGCAGTGCCACCTTCTTAGGTGGTCTTTATTTCTAAATAGATCAGAGGCTAGCAGTGAAGGGTTCTGTTTGGTAGACAAAAAAGTTTTTATTTACTCTACCCTACCATCACTTCCTCTTGTTTTCTAAGACTCTATCATCCTATAGGAAAAAATTTTCTTGTATTGGTTGATATATAGGTAGAATTCCTCCTTTCCAGAGGCACAATCACACACATTCATTAGCATCATGAACTTTTAGACCTTGAGAGGACCTTGGAAATTGTTTGATCCCAAATCTCTAGCTGTTTGTAGCTGGCAGGGAGGCATATGGGAGAGTTGTACCAATGTAGCATATACTGGTAACCATCTGGTGAAATGATCTTCTCAGGATTGATTAGGAAAGAAGCAAGCCTCCTTGCTACCAGGTCGTATTTCTTCCAAAGCTCAATTCTACCCTTCTAGGTCTGCTTCGGATAATGAAATCCAACTAGACAATTTACCAATCACCCTTATGTGTCTACAGGGTGTAGCTTTCCAGTTTCAGATAAACTCAGTAACATGTTATAAATTTTCAAATTCTGCCACTTTTGCTGCTGGACATCAACTTTGGTCTCTTTTACCAACTCAATCACCCACTATGTTAATCCCTCCTGCCTTTACAAACCTTTCAGCTAGTTTTTATTTTTTTATTTATTTATTTTTTTTAAATTTTTTTTTTTCAACGTTTATTTATTTTTGGGACAGAGAGAGACAGAGCATGAACGGGGGAGGGGCAGAGAGAGAGGGAGACACAGAATCGGAAACAGGCTCCAGGCTCTGAGCCATCAGCCCAGAGCCTGACGCGGGGCTCGAACTCAGGGACCGCGAGATCGTGACCTGGCTGAAGTCGGACGCTTAACCGACTGCGCCACCCAGGCGCCCCCCTTTCAGCTAGTTTTTAAACTTTTCATTAGAAAAATTTTCAGAAATACATAAAAAAGAATATAATAAACCCATGTTTTAAAAAATGTCTTTTTATTTTCCAAATCAGGATCCAAACAAGGTCCACATTTAGCCCTCTAAAGTTTTTTCTCACCTATAACAGTCCCATCCCCCCTCCTTTCTCTTTTGACATGCATTTATTTGTTGAAAAAATAGGTCATCTATCCTGTAAAACTACCCCTATTTCAGATTTGGCTTACTGTATTCTTGTCATTTAACATCTATCTCTACCCCCTATATTTCTTGTAAACTGTACATCTAGAGACTTTATTAAATTCAGGTTCAGTATTTTCTGGCAGGAATACCTCAGAGGTGGTACTATGTTCATCCTGTTGTATCACCATCAAGAGTCGGCCAGGGGAGGGAGAGAAAACATAAGAGACTCTTAAATATGGAGAACAAACAGAGGGTTACTAGAGGGGTTGTGGGAAAGGGGGTGGGCTAAATGGTTAAGGGGCATTAAGGAATCTACTCCTGAAATCATTGTTGCACTATATGCTAACTAACTTGGATGTAAATTAAAAAAATAAAAGGAAAAAAAAAAAGAGCCAGCCAGAATTTTTTTTGTTGTTGTTTTTTTTGTTTTGCTGTGTGTGTGTGTGGTCTTTGGCTTTATTCAGAAAAACTTAACAGTAAAGATACTTGGGTCTGTTAGTAAACATGTTTCATCGTTTGTTGTTTTTTTTTTTTCCTTGAAGATTTGTTTTCCAGCCTATTTATTTTTAGGGGAGAGAGAGAGAGAGAGAGAGAGAGAGAGAGAGAGAGAGAGACAGACAGACACACACACACACACACACCAGCCAGCCAGAATTTTAAAGTGGGAAGAATACATCCTTGAAGATCAGAAATAAGGATGTAAGATAATCCCCCCAAGAGTGAGAAGCTACATATTCTGACAAGCTTCCTAACTACTACACTGGACCTCTTTCAAATCTTCAAAATGTCATTCCTCTCCATATTCAAGGCCTGGCTACTGTTAGCCTGTTCTTCACTTAGTTAACTCATACTTGACCTTCAGATCCTGGCTCAGATTTCTTTCTTCAGGGAAATCTCCCCTGATCCCATGACTAGTTTAGGTCCTCTTGTTAAATGTTCTTGTAGCACTATAAAGAATAAAGTATAGAGGTTCAGCATTCAGAGTCAGATGGTGACTACTGAAGTAGTCACTGAGTGACTACTAGTTTAACTATTAAATTATATGACAAAGACAAATTCATTAACATCTTTGAGCATTTTTTTCTTCATTTGTAAAAGACAACACAGTAATATACCTCATAGATTAAATTAAGTCATACAACATATAGAAAGTACTTAGAACAAGAACCTGGCATATAGAAACTTATAGATTAGTAGTACTTATTGTTATATAAAAGTATGCTAGGGGCACCTGGGTGGCTCTCAGTTAAGCATCCGACTTCAGCTCAGGTCATGATCTCACGGTTTGTGAGTTCCGGCCCCGCGTCGGGCTCTGTGCTGACAGCTCAGAGCCTGGAGCCTACTTTGGATTCTGTGTCTCCCTCTCTCTCTGCCCCTCCCCTGCTCTCACTGTTTCTCTCTCTCTCAAAAATAAACATTAAAAAACTAAATAAAAGTATGCTAAACAAAACTAATCTTACCATCATATATTAGCTTAGATTTTTTTCTACAAATTACTCAGATCACTATTTCATACAAGTTGTTTTACAAAAGTATGTCTAGATTTAAGACTAAATTTCATGAGGGGCACCTGGATGGCTCAGTCGGATGAGTGTCCGACTTCAATTCAGGTCATGATCTCACAGTCTGTGAGTTCAAGCCCCACATAGGGCTCTGTGCTGACAGCTCAGAGCCTGGAGCCTGCTTCAGATTCTGTGTCTCCCTCTCTCTCTGCCCCTCCCCTGCTTATGCTCGCTTGCTCTCTCTCTCTCTCTCTCTCTCTCAAAAATAAACATTAAAAAAAAAAAATCTCAAATTAACAACCTAACTGTACAACTTAAGCAACTAGAAAAAGAAGAACAAAAAGCTAGCAAAAGAAAGGAAATAATAAGGATAAGAGCTGGGGTAAAGGAAAGCAATAGAGGAAAATCATTGAAATAAAAAGTTATTTGAAAAAAAAAATCAGCAAAATAGGCAAACCTGTAGCTAAATGGACAGAAAAAAAGAGAGAAGATTCAAAGTACTAAAATCATAAATGAAAGTGGGGACATTAATCGCAATTATACAGAAATAAAAATTCTAAGAGAGCAATACAAAGAAACAGAAAATCTGAATAGACCTATAATTTACATGAAGATTGATTCAGTAATCAAAAATCTCCCAACAGGGGCACCTGGGTGGCTCAGTCGGTTAAGCATTCAACTCTTGATTTTGGCTGAGGGCATGACCTCACAGTTCCTGGGTTTGAGCCCTGTATCAGGCTCTGTACTGACAGTGTAGAGCCTGCTTGGGATTCTCTCTCTCCCTCTCTCTCTGCTCCTCTACTGGTTGTGTTAGTTCTCTCTTTCTCTCTCTCTCAAAATAAACAAACTGAGGGGAAAAATCCCAACAAAGCAAAGCCTTGGAAATGATGGTTTCACTGAAGAATTCTACCCAACATTTAAAGAACTAACACCAATTATTCTCTAACTTTTCCAAATACTGAAGAGAAGGGAATAAATATTTCCTAATTCATTCTTTTTTTAAAGTGTATTTATTTGTTTGTTTAGAGAGAGAGAGAGAGAGACAGAGACACACACACACACACACACACACAGAGAGAGAGAGAGAGAGAGAGAGAGAGAGAGAGAGATTCTCAAGCAGGCTCCATGCTCGGCACAGATTCTGACACTGGGCTTGATCTCATGGGCTTGATCTCACTGTGAGATCATGACCTGAACCAAAATCAAGAGTCAGATGCTTAACCGACTGAGCCACCCAAGTGCCCCTAATTCATTCTTTTTTTTTTTTCATTTTTTTTAAATAGTTATTTTGAGAGAGAGACAGATCGTCAGTGGGGAAGGGACAGAGAGAGAGGGAGACACAGAATTCAAAGTAAACTCTAGGCTCTGAGCTGTCGGCGCAGAGCCTGACGTGAACCAAAAGATCATGACCTGAGCTGAAGTCAGATGCTCAACTGACTGAGCCACCCAGGCGCCCCAACCCCTAATTCATTCTTAAAGGCTAGCATTATTCTAATACTGAAGCCAGATCAAGACAATACAAGAAAACTAAAGACCAACATTCCTTATGCACATTGATGCAATTATCCTCAATGAAATACTGGTAAACCAAATTCAACAGCATATTAAAAGAATCCCACAACCAAGTGGGAGTTATTCCTGGAATGTAATAATAGTTCAACATATGAAAAACAATTAATGTAATGGACTGCATTAATGGAATAAAGGATAAAAAAACCACATGATCATCTAAATTGATGCAGAAAAAGCATCTGACCAAATTGAACACCCTCTCATGATAAAAATACTCAAACTAGCAATAGAAGGAATCTACCTCAACATAATAAAAGCCACATATGAAAACATACAGTGAACATGATACTTCCATGAAAGATTGAAAGTTTTTCCTGTACGATCAGGGACAAAGCAGTCACCACTTCTATTCCATATAGTGCTGGAAGGTCTAGCCAAAGCAATTAATCTAGAAAGAGAAATAAAAGGCATCCAAATCAGAAAGGAAGAAGTAATACTATACCTGTTTGCAGACGATATAATCTTATATGCAGAATATGCTAACGAGCCCACCAAAAACCCAAAAACCTGTTAGAATAAATGAATTCAGCGAAGTACTAGGATGTAAAGATGTAACACACAAAGATCAGTTGCCTTTGTTCACACTAACAAATAATCCAAAAGGGAAATTAAGAACACAATTCCACTTACAACAGCATCAAAAGGAATAAAAACTTAACCAAGAGGTCAAAGGCTTGTATAATCAAAACTGCAAAATATTTGTCAAAAAAATTAAAAAGACAAATAAATGGAAAAACATCCTATGTTCATGGATTGGAAGACTTAATATTAGAATGTCAATACTGCCCACAACAGCCTACACAGCCAATGCAATCCCTATTGAAATCCCAATGACATTTTTTACAGAAATAACAAATATCATTCTAAAATACATAAGGAATCTCAAAGGACCACAAACAGCCAAGACAATCTTGAAAAAAGTACAAACCTGGAGGACCTACACTTCCTGATTTCAAAACCCACTGCAAAGCTACAGAAATCAAAACAGTGTGGTACTGGCATAAAGATATATAAACCAATGGAGTAGAATAGAGAGGCTAGAAATAATTCCTCACATATACTGTCAAAAGATTTTCAACAAGAATGCCAAAATCATTTAATGGAGAAAGTATAGTGTCTTCAACAAATGGTTATGGGAAAACTGGCCATCCACATGGAAAGAATGAAGTTGGACCCTTACCTAACACCATATAAAAAATTAACTCAAAATGGATCAAAGAACTAAACTTAAGAGCCAAAACTATAAAACTCTTAGAGAAGAAAACATAGGGTAAGCTTCATGACCCTGGATTTGGTAGTGATTTCTTGGGTATGACACCAGAAACAGGCAACACAAGCAAAAACAAATTGGACTTCATAAAAATTAAAACTTTGGCACATCAAAAGCTACTATTAACAGAGTAAAAAGGCAACACATTGAATGGAAGAAAATACTTGCAAATCATTTATGTGATAAAGAGTTAACATCCAGACTACATAGAGAATCCCAAAACTGAACAACAAAAAAATATGTATCTGCTTTAAAAATGGGCAAAGAGGAGCACCTGGGTGGCTCAGTCCGTTGAGCGTCCAGCTCTTGGTTTCAGCTCAGTCATAATCTCACAGTTTGTGAGTTCAAGCCCCACATCAGGCTCTGTGCTGACAGTGCAGAGCCTGCTTGGAATTCTCGCTCTCTCCCTCTTTCTCTGCTCCTCCCCCTTCCTCTCCCTCTCAAAATAAATAACTAAACAAACTTTATTTTAAAAATAAATAAACAGGGGTGCCTGGATGGCTCAGTCAGTTGAGCAAACAACTTCAACTCAGGTCATGATCTTGTGTTCATGAGTTCGAGCCCCACATCAGGCTCCCTGCTGTCAGTGCAGAGTCTGCTTTGGATCCTCTGTCTCCCTCTATCTGCCCTCCACAGCTTGTTCTCATTCTCTCACTCACTCTCTCTTAAAAATAAACATTTAAAAATTTTTTTAAAAAGAAAAAATACATAAAAAATTAAAAATGGGCAAAGAACTTGATATACAAATGACCAATAAGCACTTTTCAAGTGTGTGTAACATCACTACCTATTAGATGAATGCAAATTAAACTACAAAGAGATACCACCTCACATCCATTAGGCTACTATCAAAAAAAAAAAAAAAAAATTCCAAAAAAACAAAAAAGTACCAAGCACTGGCAAGGGTGTGGTAAAACTGGACTCTTTGTGCACTACTGGTGAGAATGTAAAATGATACAACCACTATGAACAACAGTAGGTAGTTCTTTAAAAAAAAAAAAAAAAAGAATATTCATATAACCCAGCAATTCTACTTCTAGGTATATACTCAAACGAATTAAAGGCAGGATATTGAAAAGATATTTGTACATCTGTGTTCATGGCATTATTCACCATAGCAAAAATGTGTAAGAAACCCAAGCGTTCATCAACAGATAAATGGATAAGCATAATGTGGTATATCCGTACAATGAAATATTGTACAGCTTTTTAAGTGTATTTATTTTGAGAGAGACAGAAAGACAGAGAGACAGAGAGACAGAGGACAGAGCAGGTGCAGAGAGAAAGGGAGAGAGAATCCCCAACAGGCTCCACACTGTCAGTATGGAGCCCCATGTGGGGCTCAAACCCACAAACCATGACACCATGACCTGAGCCAAAATCAAGAATCAGACTCTTAATGGACTGAGCCACCCAAGCATCCCAAGGAATGTTATTCAGCTTTAAACAGAAAAGAAATTTTGATATATGCTACAACCATGAGGACATTAATCAGTCACAAAAAGGTAGGTGCTGTAATGACTCCACTTACACTCCTTGGGGTAATCAAAATCATAGCAACCAAAAGTAGAATGGTAGCTGCCGGGCAGGGCCTTGAGAAACA